TCGGCGGTAGGTTTAGTCGGCTTGCTCGGCGCGCGCGCCGGCAATTAGGGTGCCCGCGGCCCGTGCTATTCTACTGACGTTGTCGGCGCGCTCGCCATGCGACTTTTTTAAAAAATATCCCACCTTGCAAGCGCATCGCAAGCGAAGGGCCTAAAAGGCCGAACTCATCCGCGGGTGTTGGAGGTCTTGGGGGCGCCCTTAACAGAGGCCTCCTGCAACTTGGAGCGGTCTGGGGACCTGTCGGGGTCATGCTGGAAGCCCCCCTGACCCGTTTTGCTTGTGTCTTGGGGCTCTCCTGGGGGCCTTCAGGGCCTTTTTGGAGTAATCTTGGAGGACATCGTTCAACCAAGGTGGCGGCGCGGATCTGGGTTGTCCCTCCTGTGCTCGAGGACGCGCATGCTGGAGCCCTCTTTGTTCGCTCTTTGGTGTTCCTGGGGCCCTGTTGGAGCCATTGGAATTAGTTTGACACCTTCTTGGATGCCTCTTGCAAGCCCCCAGGGCTGCCACCCTGGAAGGCATCGATCAAATAGGGGGGGTTTTCCATTGGCGATGCCTTTTTCTGGAGCCCGGTGAGTTGCGTCATGGCATTTTTTTTGGGGCGCTCTTGAGGCGTTCTTCGGCGCTCGTGGGAATCCTTCTTGCTCTGCGGGCCCCTCTTGGGTCATCTTGGAGCCATGTTGAGGCTCCGGCTCCATCGGAAGCGAAACGACAGCAAGGCAGCACACACAATTCTCCTGCGGTGTTCGAGGAATTCTTACATTTTGGGGGGAGGAGTCAATACGCCTCCTGCCCACAAGGCGCAAGCCGTTTCGCTCACTCCCACCCGCCTTTGCAGCACATAAGTAGCACCCGAGTGTCCCCGTTCGGAACTAATGCAGAGTGGTCGCGCAGCGCCCGCGCAAGCTCCATAGTTGGAGGAAGGTGTATTTGGAGTGTTTTTGTCAAGTTTGGTAGGCTTGCGTGCAGCACGCAATGCGAGGGCCCCCCCGCCATCCCTGTCGAAAACATATGCAAAGTGGTCGCGCAGCGCCCGCGCATGCTCGAGATTTGGAGGCAACTTGTATATCGTTTTGTTATTTGACAGGGTTTTGGGGGGGTGTCTCATGTGTCCTGGTTGGCTGCCAGTCGGGTGGGGGGCAGGACGGGTTTTTTCTGCACAAAGGGAAGAGCGGGAAACCTCGCCCCGAACGGGAAGATGCGGGTTGGAAGAAGAAGTGGCTCAGACCACCTCCGCACAGACGGCTGGTGGGATTATTCCCGCTCCTGTTTCTCTCATCTCACCCGTCCGTGCACATGCCTCGGGCCATGATGCGCTCCCCCCCCTTTTCATGGCCCCTCCTCTTTTTGACACACCCGAATTTCGATCCGATTCGATGTCGATTCTGGCTGACTCGATCCGATTCGATTCTGACATTACTACAAGTCGATGTGGCCCGATGTTTGTGTGGAGCTGCTGTGCATCCTGCTGCGGCCGATCCGATTCGATTTCGGCTTCGTGCCGATTCGGCCCAAACCGACGCACAGTCCGATTCGATCCGATTTCTCGAGTCGACCCTGCCCCATGTGGCCTGCAGGCGCCCGCCCGCGATGTTTTCAGGGCCCCTACATGGGCTCCAGAGTGGCGCCCAAAGCTAGGAGCACACCTGGGCCAGGACAATTTCTTGGGAACCTTCGGTTGAGGGAGGAGGGGCAGGAGGAGGAGGAGGAGGAGAAGGAGGAGGAGGAGGAGGAGGAGGTGGAAGAGAGGAGAGGTAGGTGTTGCGAAATTGCAGTTTCGTGATTTCGAGGTTCTCATGTTTCCCCCCCGCGGCCAGGGACAAATGGTCGAGGGCCGTCAGAGTCACCGGAATATCCAGAACGTATTTTGAACAAATTTAATCCCGCTTGACCCCGTTTGATTTGGCTTAGTCTGGCCTGGTCCCAAGTTTAGTATGTGCTATTCCGGCTTGATGGCACCTTAATCGGGCTTAGTTGCAGGAATTGTTTCCCAACCCTCTCCCTCAGGAATCCATGTTCCAGCTCAGGCTTGCCGCCTTCCTCTCCTGTTCATGTTCCCCCCTCAGGACTTCATGATCCAGGGGGGTGACTTCACTTAGAGCGGCGCCGCCCCAGCGCATGCGGCCGCCGGCGCCTCATTCATTGCCCAGGGCGCCAGCGCCGTGCGCCGTGGCGGCGGCTCCGAGAGATTAGGGAGGAGAGAGAGAGAGAGAGAGAGACGGAGCGAGGCAGATAGGAGCGGAGATGAGCTCGGAGGTTGATAGTTCCACCCTGAGAGGTCGATTCGGGAATTACCCTTTGTTTTGTTCTCGAGGGTCCTGCGCCCGCAATTTGGGGGGCCTGGGCCCGCTAGGTTCGGTCTCAGGCCACTTTCACTTGAGGGTGTTTTGCTAAGAGGGGGTTCTGTCCACCCCGATGAGAGGGTGAGGGGGGGCATTGCAGGCAGAGAGGGAGAGAAAAAGGATGCGCGAATGCCCCCCCCCGAACAAAAACCAACGAGCGCAGAAACAGATGTTCACCGAGGCGAGGAATTCATCCCATGGAAAAATGCATAAACATGATTAATCGCTTCGCTCATTCCGCTCGCCCATTTCGCATCACTGTGGCTGCGTGGTGGTGTACTCGTGCCCAGGGAGAACGGTGGGGCAGGCAGGACGGTCTTCGAGGAGATCTTTGGAGATGTGGCTCGCACCCTGTGGAAGAGAGCCGATAGACTGCCACAGAGAGTGCCAAGATAGCTCAAGAGAGCTCCAGCAGAGTGTCGAGACGTGAATACACGGGTTGTGGGTCGAAGTCCTCATGGATGCTTCTTGGGGTCTTTCGGAGGCAGCCTTTGGGGAGCAGTTTTGATGCCTCTGGGGAGCCTCTTGGGGGTTTCTTGGGGGCCTCTTGGGGTTTCCTGGAGGCCTGTTGGGAGTCTTGGGGGGCCTCTTTGGGGGCCTCTTGGGGGCCTCTTGGGGGCCTCTTGTGGCCTCTTGCGGGGCTCTTGGGGGCCTCTGGGGCCGAGAGCTCGAAATGTCTGTTCGATCCCCCGTCTGGGCCCGCTCTTGGAGCCGTCTTGGGAGGAGCCTCTTCGGCCATCTTGGAGGCCTCTGGGGCTGTCTTGGGGCCCTCTGGGGCCGTTCGGGGCGCGCTTGGAGGCCTCTTGAGCCGTGTTGGGGCGATCCTGGAAGACTTTTTTGGGCCTGGCAGCCCCCGTAAGCCGAAAAGGCGAGAACGCCAAACACCTCCAACAAACATGGAAAATACCACTATCTGCCTCTGTGGGCCCTCTTCGGAGGTCTCTGGGAGCCGTCTTGGGGCGTCTTGAAGGCGCTTTGGGCTGTCTCGGACCATGCTGAGCCCTCTTCGAGGCCACTTGAAGCGCTCCTGGGGGCCTGCTCGGGACCTTGCTGGGGCACATGCATGAACATTATTTTCAGAGCTCCGCGCAGATTTCTAAGGCCGGGGCCCTCCTGGCGGCGCCTGCGGCGCCGCCGTTGGCGCGCTCCGCGCGCCAGGGAGGATGTGCCCAGCGCCGATCCAAGAAAGCCACGTTGGGGTCCGACAATTTGTGTTTGTGGATTTGCTGTGTCCTCGAGAGGGCAGTGCGGCAGGCCCCCTCTCAGAGATCTAGCGCAGCAGGTGTTCGTCAGGTAATCACGTCCGCCCCCCCCCCCCCCCCTCCCTCCCAAGCAGAGCTAAAGCTCATGCTGAAGCAGAGCTTCAGCGTAGACTTCTTAAACTCACACGCCGGATCGGCGGATATGTGCACGCAGGTGGCTTCACCCCAGGCAGCCCCAAGAGTGCTCCAAGATGGCCTCTGGTCGCCATGATGGTTCACCTCGCAGGGGGGCGTCGTGCGCGCTCTCCCGGGGCCTCCGGGGGGCTCCTTCTGTGGGAAGCCTGCAGGCTTCCTACAGAAGGAGCCCCACGGGGGGCCCATCTGGGAGAGGCAGCGTGATTCGGAAGCCGGGCAAGGGCTGCTACATCCGTGGCTGCTAAAATCGACCTCCGGGAAGCTGTCTTCGTCCTTCCGGGAAGAAGCCCGTTGGCTGTTTCGCGTGCCGCGCATCATTCCGGGAAGTTGTTTTTTCCTTCCGGGAGGGCCCACGGTTTTAGCAGCCTTCGCCCAGCTTCCGAGTGATAGGTGGCATAGTCTTAGGGGGCGGACGCATCGAAACCCAATCGCCATTTCATCGCCAATGCGGACCTGCTAGCCCTAAACTCTCCCCAGGGACGTGGGGATTCGCAATCGAAGCATATCGCCAATATATCGTCGATGCATCGCGGATCCCTGAGATCCGACGTTGCAAAAACAAATCAACATCGCGATACATCACGACCAGAATCCTAGAACCCATCTTTCTGCAGCATGTGTTGGAGTTTGATCGATCTGTGATGGCCCTGGGGCATGAATCTGTCGGAAAGCGCTCAGTGTGAAAGAAATTCGCAGCGTCCAGGTCTTGAGGATTCTATGTCGATCTTTCCTCCCTCCTCAACCATTTACCCGCTAATCTTGGCATCGCTCGGACGTGTGTTTTGTTTTTCTCGGCGAGGGCCATCGAGGAGCATCCTGGATCATCGAGCGACAAAAACACTCATAAAACCGAAATATGCACGGGGAATGGCCGTCCGAGCGATGGCAAGTAATTTGATCCCCTGGCGACAACGGGCGTGACCCGGGGCGGGAGGGGCGAGGGGCCCAGTAACGCCACGAGTCGCGCCGTCTGGGGATGCCCAGGAACTGCTGATCCCCGGACGCCACCGTCGCGAATCGTAACGTGACCAGGGGGGGGGCGGGGCCGCCAACGGGCGTTAGCAAGGAAATCGGGGCTGGGGATCAATGCAAATGGGGGTCAGTCCGAGCGCTGGATTTTGCAGGATCCTGCAGGACCAGGGGCGCATTGACCTGAACTGTGGTGCAGGATCCTGCAGGGATCCTACAAGGCCTGACTGACCAGGGTTTGCATTGACCCGGGTAAGTATGTCCCCGGGGAAAAATAAACAAATGGGCTCCTGAGGTGACTTCACGAAGGGCGACGGCACCGGCGGCAAGTCCATCTACGGCGAGAAGTTCGCGGACCTGCGGGGGGATTCGGAGAGGCTGCCAATGCCTTGCAGGGGCGTCGGCAGAGTCGGCGAGCGGGGGGGGTGAAAGCACGATAGAGGTGAGGGGAAGATGAGGATGAGGATGAGGACGAGGAGGAGGAGGAAGAGGAGGAGGAGGAGGAGGAGGAGGACGAGAAGGAGCTCTTGCGGATGGTCCTGAAGCCATGCGATCCACGATCAAAGAACATCGGACGCCGCAGAATCCAGCTCCTCTCCAAGTGGTGTCGGGGCGCGCGTGGAGGCTTCCCCCCGAGCCTTCACCCAGGGGAGATTATTCTCGATCAAACCGAACTGCACCCCCTTCGCGCATGAGCCAAACTAGGTGAGCCAGCCACCCTCCTCGGCCTCATGAACCAAAGGGCCACCGTCCAGCGTTTCGACCAGGTCCCTCCGCTCGGTGAGGTCGAGGCCCCTCGGGGGCCCGAGGGCATCTCCTTCTTCCCTACCTTTTACGAGGGGAAGCTCAGCTGCTTAATTCGCCTCAGCTGGTCGTTCCGTGAACATCGTTCTCCTTCTTGCACATTTCTTCGAACGGCGCTCCAGCTTCCCCTCTCGTTTCCACATCCCGCTCCCACGGAGGCCCGCCTTCCAGAGCCCCCTCGTCGTCCTTGTTGGTGTCGTCGTCGTTTGCCGCCGCCGTGGCCAACGCAGGGTCAGCCAGGTGGCCATACCAGCCAAAGGCCTCAACGACGTTCCACCGTTTCACCGCCTCTCGCTGCGCCATGCGCGCGGTGGAGCCGTCCCTCGGGACGGCGGATCGGCCTGCCGCTCCGCTCCGCTCTCACGGAGCTCGTCGGGCCCTGCCGTCACTTCTTGGGCATCGGCCTTGTTCTTCCCCGGGCCTTCCGCGTCGTGTTGCACGAGACATTGCGACAGGTTTGTCCAAAGCCGTTCTTGTATCTATTCTTTCGCCGATCGGCGCAGGCCCAAGGCTCCCAAACTCATACACCTGATCTTGCCCCCCCTTCCAGCCTGCTTGCGCTTGCTTGCGCGACTGGTAAAAGCAGATCGATCACGCACCGGCCCAGGCCCAGACCCCCCGCTCCCCCACCATCCGGCCAAATGTCGAAGCCCAGCATCAAGAAACGCTTACGAGGGGGTCGAAACCTCGGGTGGTCCACGTCGTGGAACAGTCACGGCGTCCTGGGTCGTGGGCCCCCCCCGCTGCACCCTCTCTCGCGGGCCCTGTGCCTTCTCCGTGCCGGCTCGTTCCCAGCGAGAGGCCCCCTCTGCGCGGAAGGTGGCCATCCTTGTTTTGCGGCCCCCTTTGGTGCCCTGTTCTGCCAAGACCTCGAATTTTTTTGACATTGGCCACGCATACGCATCGTCTCTGTTGCGTCCATCCAAGACCTCGTACTCAGTGCCAACCTCCTCAGAGCGCTGCCAACCCTGGGGCTACGTACCTCATCTCAGACCAGTTTGCGAAGTATCCTGACCTGCCAGTAGGCACACCAAGTATTGTTCTGAGAACATTGTGTGGTTGCACGGCATTGTCTTGTGACATATTGAATTGAGGCAGTCTTGTTATGCTCCATCGCCCTCCATGTTTGAAGAACGCTGCTTCTTATTCCCAACCATCCTGTGGTGTTGGGTCCTCGTTTTGAAGAGACAGAGCCCCGCGTCTCACCTCCTCCTCTTTCCTCCCCCTCCTCCCTCCTCCCATCCCTGCCTCTGCCCATCCCTGCCTCTCACGCCACGCCACGCCACGTCATCCGCCGTGTCGGCCGCGAACGACCAGCGGAAAGGTAGTGGCGCGTGCTGCCGTTATGAAGAAACTTATGGATGCGGGGGCGCGGAAGGCAAAAGTGGAAAGACTTGAGAACCCTAGCCCCACCGCTAGCATCACTCTGCAACGACACCATGGAAGTACACAAAACCCCAGAAACAAAGTGGCGCCAAGAAGGTGGCCGCACCAGCGGTGGCGCAGGGCACCAACAAAGTGCATGCAGACATACCGACACCGCTGGCGCCACAAAGGCAGATGGCCAAGACCTGACAAAACAACTTCTGGCATCGCTAGGTGTATACACACACACACACGCGCACGCACGCACGCACGCACCACCCAGACGATCCTCCACGCAGGACGAGACATCACCCAAACAACCACGGACCAAGCACCGGAAAGCACGGCCCCGGCTGCGAGGGGCTCGGGGGCGGTTGGCCATTGGCCTTTCGGTGGAAATCGGTGGCCTGGCAGATGAGCAGGGCAAGCCTCCCCCTCGGTGCCGCCCCTGGGCGGTCGGGGGAACCCGCCACCGACAGAGTGCAGTGTGGAAACACAGACACCGACAGCGCAGCCAACTATGTGCTTGCCGACCAGGGAAGAGCCGGAGTTCCTCGCCCCGCATGCTTTCCTTGCCGTATTTCCTCACGAACAGAAGCAAGGTTGACATGAATGACCACCTTCAGGTGTTGAAGGGCCATTTTCGGGTGCCCACTTCGCCCGACCATGTCCGTAACCACCACCGAGCGACACAGACACCCAGGGGACGCACACTCCACCCGACCATGGCCGGAACCACCGCCGAGTGGCATGCGCTTGCCCAGGTGACGGTGCGCCTTGACCACGGGCGTCGCCGTCCTGCCTCTCCGCCCTTTCCCAGGGGAAAGGTCCCAGGACCCAACCCATGTGAAGATCCCCCCTGAGAGGATGTTGGGCAAGGAGGGTTGTACACTCCTGCCCCCGATCGCCGAACGAAGTCCGCAAATAGTTCCAGCCAAGCCCGAAAACAAAGACCCAACCCCAAAGGCACAGCTAAACTATCCGCACCAATGGCTCGAGAGGGCCCCCCCCACGGGGGGCATTGGTTGGCCGCATCCCTCCCCACCCACCACCTCTCCAGGCCCACGCATGCCGATGAAGCCCAGACCACACAGACTCACCCCCACAAGGGAGGTGAGCCACGTTATGTGAACCCCAAGGGAGGAGAGGAGAGGAAGGGAGGAGGGGAGCAGGGGCAAATGGAGGAGAGGAAGGGCAGGGAGGAGGGGAGGAGGGGTAATGAGAGCGGCGGAGTGAAGGGGCACAGTCCAAACACGGCCTACCCCCCACCCCTGGGGGCGCATGGGATGGGGCTTGGTGGTGAGGAGTAGGGACGCGTTGTCCTAGGTGCGGCCGCGTGGAGGCCTGTGTACTTTGCACCTGCATCCCAGCCTCTGCCCTCCGCATGCCAACCATATCGGCACACCCCTCAGGAGGATCGTGGCCCCATGGAGAGCACCACATAAAGCTTCAGTGGCAGGATTCGCATGGCGTCCTCGGGCCATCTCGGCACACACCTCACGAGGATCGTGGCCACATGGGGAGCTCCACCGAAGGCCCCAGTGGCAGGGTTCTCATGGCATCCTCTGGCCATCTCCGCACACCCCTCACGAGGATAATGGCCACATGGGGAGCTCTACCGAAGGCCCCAGTGGCAGGGTTCGCATGGCGGCCTCGGGCCATCATCTCGGCACCCCCATCACGAGGATCGTGCCCCACAGGGAACTCTTCCGAAGGCCGCAGTGGCATGGTTCGCATGGCGGCCTCGGGCAACCTCGGCACACCCTTCACAAGGATCGTGGCCCCATGGGGAGCTCCACCGAAGGCCCCGGCGGCAGGGTTCGCATGGCGGCCTCGGGCCATCTCGGCACACCCCTCACGAGGATCCTGGCCCCATGGGGAGCTCCACCGAAGGCCCCAGTTGCCGGGTTCGCATGGCGGCCTCGGGCCATCTCGGCACACCCCTCCCGAGGTGGCCCCATAGGGAGCTTCACCAGAGGCCCCAGTGCCAGGGTTCGCGGCCTCGGGCGGTTTTGGCACACCCCTCACACGCTTCGTGGCCCCATCGGGAGCTCTGAACGAAGGCCCCAGTGGCAACGCCTGCACGCGTCCCGCGCTCATTTCGGCACACCCCACGCACGTTTCGGCGCTCCCATCTGCGTTGCCCGGTGCTCCATCCTTCTCGCGGCGCGCTACTGATGATGAGAGGGGCATGTCCTGCGTTTCTCGCAGCTGCATATGGTTGGGTCCTTCGCCAGGCTAATTTGTTCTACCAGCTTTTCGTGGCAGGTCGGTGCAGATGCCGTGAACGGTCGGTCAGTCCATGGTCAATCATCGGGGGTTGCTTTTGACTCTGAAGCTACAGGGGCCACCCTGCTCAGGCAGGCGTTCCATAAGAACGCGCCACTCAGAGTTCTCGCACGGCGATTCTGGATGCCAGTTACGATGGTTTTGCAAGTCTGCCCTCGTTTCGGCAACAGGTCGCTGTTGACGAGTGGGTGCCATCGTGTGTGTGTGTGTTTGTGTGTGTGTGTGTGTGTTTGTGTATGTGTGGTCGTTCGGCGTTCGTCGAAAATTGCGCTCGCTCGGCGTCAGGCATTCGCTCGGGGCTCTTTCCCCTACCATCGGAGGAAAGAACACCACCACCTCCAATACCAGGGGTGCCACCTCCAGCAAGGAGGCTCACGACGCCTCTCCGATCTGGGTATAGGGTATGTCGCGAGCGGTGGGTGGACCACACCACCAAAAAAGACCCCCCACAGGCTCCTCGCGCTGGTGGTGGTGGTGGTGGGCTCCTATACTTCGGTATCGTCTAACCGATCCACATCCCCATTGGCCCTGGTACCCCAGCCACACCAGGACACCCGCCTAGGTGGGGATGGTTCCTGCGACACCCGAGGGGAACAGCATATATGATCGCGGGCTCCGGGCCCACGGGCCCCCCCCCCAGATGGGATGGGTCCCAGGATCCTCGCCCCCCCCCCCAGATGGGATGCGGTGGGGGAGGAGGAGGAGGAGGAGAGGGAGGAGGAGGAGGAGGAGGAGGAGGAGGAGGAGGAGGAGGAGGAGGAGGAGGAGTAGGAGGAGGCGGAGGAGGAAGAGGAGGAAGAGGAGGACGACGACGACGACGACGACGACGACGGCGACGACG